GCACTCAAGACCACACATTTCTCCCGGCTGTCCATTGCATTCGTAATAACTTTGTTTATTAACCCAATAGCCGCCCAATGGTGCCGGAAGTGTAGGGCAATTGGGAGCAACTTTTTGCTCGCATTTAGGCTTAGGATGCGACCACTGGCCACCTCTCAGACACTGATCCACTCGACTGCCATTTAGTTTGAATCCAGTATTACAAGAAAACGTGAGCCGACAGCCCATCACAAACCTATTGGTGCACGAGTTCACTACAACCCCATTCTCTAACTCACGAATGGGCACACAATTGATATACTGCGGGACACATCTAACTACCAGTCCCGACCACAAGCCATTCCTCTGACATACCCTGACGGCTGAGCCCTGGCGTATGTAACCGGACATGCATTGTATTTGACAGACACTACCCGTCCTCTGTGCTCCTATACAATACCCTTATGGTCGACGGTTTAGCCATTAATTAATTGAAATGACAATTGAATGAACAATAATAAAATCAATACCTGATATGATTGCATTTGGTGGTAATACTGGTGGTCGGCATACAGTGTGACAGCTCTTTATCAAAGCCAATGAGACAATTATTTTTGACAAAAATGATATCATTTTGATATTTTACAAATCTTACATAATTTTTACATATTTTGCGATATTTATATAAAACTGCAATTAATAAGTATTATATAACAGAATCGTAAAATTTTATGAGATTTATTTAAAAATGCATTAATTATGCATTTATTATTTATTTATTATGTATTTATTCAGATGAGCTCTATTTCAGTGATTTTATTGCATTCTTCGTCGTCGGACTTGATTTCGCAAAATTTTATTTCTTTCCTATTATTTATGAAATAGTTTCCCACTTTGCAGACAATCATTAAAACAAACATAAGTGTAATATAGGAGCTGTCAATAGCATAGACCAGACACAGACTTGTGTCCATCGGATGAGCTGTTCATGAAATCAAATAAAAAAGTAATGTAATGTCGGTATCGTTGATATATATACTTATAAAATATTTATATATATATATATACTTTATATACCATTGAAATTATATACTAAATAGTTTATAGAATTTATTTCAATTGATTTATGAAATTATTCTTGATTTCTAGTGTTGTATATTTCATAATAAATATATTATTGTTAATGTAGAAATTGTTTATTGAATAAACAGGATCTCATAAAAATATGAATGTTTAAATGTTAGCAAAATTGAAAATTACAAAAAAGAGGAAATAATAAATAAATAATTAATTTTAATGAATTACTCATACAGTATATTGTAATTAAAAGTTTACGTGAAGTGTGTATTAATTAAACAGAAGTCTAGAGATAATTTTGTTTGAGTTTTTATTTTTATATTAGTTTGTTAATAAATTAATTAAGGATTACTACAAAATATATAATTTTAATTTACGTGTTGAAGACTACATACTGTAGTACTGTATATGAAAATAGAAAAATTGATTTTTGTCTCAAAACCTAACATTAATTCAGACTTGCATTAGATGTCAGACACGAACCCAATAGTGTTGGCATCGATTGCATGTAATTCCAACACATAGTCGAGACTCCAGTGCCTTCATTAAGCCTAAACAGAAAGCCTAAGCTCTGGGAGCTCTTAAATTCATGATCTTTCGATATATTGAATATATTTTAATATAAATTTCTCGCAAAATATATAATAATATTCTTCTTTCGCTCTAATGGTCTGAAATAAAAAGCTTTTCTTATATTTTATTTTTTCTTTGATAATTGAGTGAAAACCCATTTTTCATAGTATTAGCGATAGAAAAGCGATTACACAAAACATATTCATATCCATTAGGACTTCTTAATTAGCTAAACAACTCTTTCATAACTTTATCCATTAAGAAGTCAAGACTTGTCTTACATATAAAATATTTATCAAAGTAATCTATAATTAAATATATTTATAAATTGTGCACAAAACTTACGATTCTGTTGGTATAAAACGAAAGTAATCCACGGAATCGAGAGTATAATCGTAATGAATATGAACTTCACATTCAACGTTATACTCGAATAGATGCCTGTCGTGTGGGCTATGATTTTATTGTAAATTATCATTATTTTGATTAATTCTAATGAATTCTTGAGACAATCAATTCGCAGAGTCCACCGAATGGTAATAATTGTCGTTATGATTGCATAACATATACTCCCAAACAATGCCATACATTGAATCATTATTGTCAACGCACTGATGCATCGGTTTTTTATGATGTATTTATGTTTCCTGTTTTCATATTTGATTAAACATTAGAATTATTTATAGTATTATA